ATCGTCAACTGTCAAATGCTCGATGGAAGCCCTTGTACCAATGGAATAGGATAATCCCTTAAGCAACAATTCTCTTCCACTACTAGCTATTGGATTCGTTGTTCACCCTATTGATAAACCATTGTATCAATCTAAGCAAAACCTTGTTGATTTTCTCATCTAAGTCTTCAAAATATTCTCTTGATCTCTAGATCATAAGATATAATGTCCAAGCTTTCTGCTCCTCTCATACAATGACAAAATGAACCTAAAAAACAAAGAAAGAAAAACTCATATTAAGACTCATCTATTGACTTTAATATTAGAAAAATAAATATGAAACATAAATCTGCAACAACGGTGCCAAAAACTTGTTGTCGATTTAATATACGTAAGTATACATATCAAACAAGTAATATAGATAGTAAGTCCGAAATCGTATCCCATAGGGATTTGCTCTTAATTTTTCACTAAGTATTAAAATTATGCCAAATTAATCTTATTCAGGGAACTCAATTTTGTAGAAAATCAATTATAACTAAATTTAATCAAATACTAAAATAATTCACAAAAAATAAAAATTCACTACAGAGGCGGTAGATTAAAACCAAGGATTATGGGTTCATTCAACACTTCTTCTGACAATTGTTTCTCTTAATATTTATATTCATGAGTGGTTTTTCTAACCTAGAATCCAAATGTATGAACAAGTCTCTGTCGAGATGCTAGTACAAATACCTAACTTAAGTGAGTCATTATATGTCTATAGTAATCAATTAAATAAGGTTCATTAAGCTAGTGTTCTAATTTGGCTATGTAAGGCATTCAGGCGTATGTCTACCCTAATTGTGAATCAAATCACCTAATTGGTATGAAAATATACTATTCAAACCTTAAGCCAATATGAAATCACTCTGTCGATTCTCATCTAGATTCACAAATCATTCAATAGTGGGTCAGACAATTAAAAGCATTACAAACAAATTCGAAAAAACAAAACCATACCTATTCATAATAAACAAAAGGAAATAAATATTTAGACTATATGTTGAAATCCACCATAATCTGAGAAAAATAGTTTAGCTCATGATAACTGAAGCAAAAACATAATTTCATCAAAACAGTATATGTTCACAGCAAAAGAAAAAGAGATAATGAAACTAGAGTGAGAAAAAGTTTTTTGCCAAATCTAATCTTCACTACTTTTGCTTTCCTCTCATTTTTCTCTTGTGCAAAATTACTCTTTTACTCTGAAAAAGCTACTACTCCATCATTGCTTCTTAGCTTAAATAGACCTATTTATAAGCCATCAAAATGCCCTAGAAAATCAAAACCCAGATGCAAAGTGAGAAAACCTAATCGCTCTGGCCACATAGCATTAGGTTGCTGGCACCACAGCACCATCCATTTTGTCCCATTTCTCATGCCTTCTAGCACCATGGCACTGGTCCTCCAAGGTTACGACATTGAGTTTTCTATCTCCCTTTGGTGCAGACTATTGCAATGCTATGACTTCGACAAGGATTTTGACCATGATTTGTTCAAAATTGGGTAAAGTGATAAACATTAAAGTTGTAGCCCTTCCTCTTATCTTTCCAGTGGTCTAAGAATCTCATCAATTGGACTTCTGTAATGCGAGTTATACATAAAATACCACAGCATATTTAGTAAAAATTTACACCTGGCCATCCTTGCATAGTTCATTTTCATGAATCTCTATGCACTTGAGAATCTTCAAAACAAAGGCTAAATCAGTGATGGCTCAATTTAGGACTTTTAAAATTAAATTGAGTTAAAATTACTCAAATTCAATTAATTCAACCTACATTAAACTTAATGACAAAAAACCTAAAATCAACTTAAAAACACAAGAACTTAACTATTTTTAATAATCAAAATGTGGCAAAATAACTTTATATAATAGAATTATCAGTGTGCAGACTAATATGATATTTCTGTTATGACATAATCATGTTTATGCATGTTTGCATACGATACCATGGTGACAAGTCCCATGAGGCACATATGAGAATTTGGATCATTACTATTTTAGGCTTGCATGATTTAAGAGGGTCACTCCCATCAATACCCTTACACTGGTCATGGCCACTAGTTTGGGTCATCACATTGGCTCATTTGCCCCAACTTAAAGTGATATAGGTGTATGTGGTATCTTTCCCTACATCTAGCCTAATTTATATGTGGCATGGCGCCCCACATCTGGCCACAAACATAAGTGTTATAATGCCCCACATCTGACACAAATACATTTATGGTACGACACCTAATATTTGGCCCATATGCTCACATAAAATTCATACTTTTATAACATACATTATTATTCACATGTCATTTCAAACATGAGAATTATATTAATCACACGCAATCATGCCATACATTTCATTACCTTAATTGAGGGCTTTTATCCATCCACATTTTCATCCTTTAGTGGTGGAGACTTACTCATCCATTATCACATGTTCCACAAATGGGCTTTCTATCATCCACATTTACCTTCTCATAAAGGTGACTCTATTTATCCACACTAACAAATACACCAAGGTGGGATTTCAAACATTTCATGATCATTTTATCATGGGTGGGAACTTTTTCATCCATAAAGGAATTTTTCTAATCATGCTCCATTTATGCTCCATACATCCTATCAAGGACTCTTTAAGTGAAAAAACTTGAAAGAGCTTGTCCCCCTTGTTGAAAACTAATATGTAATAGAGATTTTACTTACATAATAGAATCCAAAACTTTTGTGCTTAAACATATTCAAATCATCATTTTATACATAATACTCAAACCACGTAAGGTAACCAATTCGATAAACCGTTCTTAGCTTTACATACTAAAATATTTTGAAAAGGTTTATACACTCACCTTGACAAGAAACATGTTTCTAAGCCTCGCTTTGTCATACCTTACTCATTCTACAATCCTCACGCCTAACAAATCCAAACATAATAATTTATATCATAAGTTTCTTAACTTTCTATCAAACCCATTTATTCAAAACTAGTTGAGTAAACTCATATTCTTCGATTTAAATCTAGCGAACCTAAAACTCCAAACTTTAAGCATTTATTGCTCTAAATAAAGAAACCTTACCTCAATGATTACTTAGGAAGTTAGAAACCTAAAAATCCTTAGCTCAAAGAGCGTAAGTTGCTATAAATTTTGTAAAGAAAGAAAATCAACATAACCCATGGAACTAATGTTCAAAAATGATTAAATCTTACCTTGGATTCGAGTGTGAAAGCATAATCCTTGCTGAATAGGGTCTATGGAGGCCATAGGATGGTTTGGAGAGTGAAAGAGAGTGAAAAACGGCTGTGAGAAAAAAAAATGAGAAAAGAGGATCAAGTTAGGTTTTTCATTTTTCACTGCTAAACCTTAAGGATAGACCTTTTAAGCCTAGGGGTCGATTCCTAAGCCTATTTTTCCCTTACATGGTTACAAGGATCAACACTTTTACCTTACAAGTCGATCATTTTGGTTTCAAAAATCTTATTTTGTGTTTGCCTAACAAAGATGGACATTTTAAAGTTTGGGGGTCAATCATGCTTTTAGAAGCCATTCCAAGTGTTTTGTTGTGCAGCGATCCCTTCCTCCTTTAAGGGTCGATCCTCCATAATTCCATAAGCTATTTTGAGCTTAGAAACTTTCAAGGATCAACCCTTTATGCCTTGAAAAAAGGATTCTTTTGAGTTCCTTTTTATCCCATTGTTTCAACAATCAATCTTCCACCAAATAAACAAAATATTAAGGAGAAATTTATCACAAAATGGTTGGGAAACTCATCCAATAATAAAATTACATTAAGGCTCATAAAAAATACTTGTAATTATCAAATCTCACTATATGAAATGTTAAGGTTGCACAAACAAGTCCAAAAACTCATTAAGGGTCGACTACATCTCGTGTAGAATCTCATCCTTTCTGGATTGTAACTCCTCGATGTTGACCTCAACGTCCTCGAATATGTCCCTCATTTCACCCATACTTGGACACTCAACCATTTATATAGAATAATATGTCTCTTGAACTGGACTTGCCTCACTTGGCCGCACCCAAGGTCTCCCTCATCTCTTAGGCAAGTGCAGAGTAAACTACTGAAGTCATTTCTCTCATTTATCAATTAACTTGCTTTGATACAATCTTTCATGTGTTGAGACTTTAGCTCAACTTTGTTTGGCTTTGAACTTTGAAATACACCTTACATCAAGCTCAACTTGATCTTGAAACCAATAAATCCAATCAAGAACATTATTGTCTATTTTTCTACGCACACAAATATATGTATCAAACAAATAATATAATGGCAAGTAAAGTGTCGATCCCATAGAAAATTGACCTAAAATTTTATTAAGTACTAAAATTATAAAAATTTAGGCTAATTCAAATAATCGAAATTAATTAATTAATTAAACTAAAAATTAAATAAAACTAAATCATAAATAATTAAACTAAAAATCATAGAAATAATAAATAGAGAAAAATCAATTTAAATAAGCCTAGTATGACAATGTCCCTCACACTTCATCTAAATCTCACCTCTCTCTCTCTCTTAACTTATTTCAACGGATTGAATTGTTAACTTAGAGTCCTCAATTATTTGTAAGGCTCTCCCAAAACTCTTATAAAAGTATCTATTTTAATCAAAACATTATATTCATATGTAAATGGAAATTAAAATAGACTCATTAAGTTCAATCTCTAATCTTGGTTATATACAACATGTAGGTATATTTATGTCCTATACACAAATCAATTTATTCATCCAAGTAAATAAATATGATCATATGTTATTCTAATCTTGGCCAACACTAAACTCCCTTTTGCAAGTTATGTTTAGGTTTCCAAATCAATTTAATTAGTAGCTAAGCAATTAAAAGTATTGGGAAATTGAAATAAACAAAATAATACCATTGAAAATAACCAAGAAAGAGATTAAAAATTTAAATTACATGTGAGCTCCATTGCAATCATAGAGAAAACAAATTTGCTACTCATGATCGAAATAAAAATCATCTGAAATTTAACCATAAGAAAATACAAGAATAATAAAAAGAATAGGGAAGCAGAAAACAAAGATTATTAGTCTTGATCTTCAATATTCCATTTTGGAGGCTTGGCTTCATGAATTTTTGGTGGATAACTTCTCTAAAAATAACTAAAAACTCTTTGTTTTTCTCCCTCAACTTAAACCAAGCATAATTAACTATTTATAGAGACTTATAATAGGTGTGAAAACCCTATTAGGACTCTTTTATCTTCCAAAACATGCACCAACTTGCAACCTTTAGGATATGGGCTAAAAAATCCAAATTGGGCTTTAGATGCCACAGTGCTGGCCTTCAATGTCACGGTGTTGGCCTGGCTTCCAGTCTTCTATGGCACGCTATGAACTTTCAATGCAATTTTTTCCAACTTAGAGTCAGAACTGGGCAAAGTAGTCTTATCAAAGTTGTAGCTCTACCTCTTAGTTTTCCAAAGGAGTAAAAATCACTTTATTTAAACATCTAGAGTGAAAGGTATGCTCAAAATACCGCAACATGTACTAATAGAGCCTTAGTCCTTCAAACACCTTTCTTCACCAATTTGAAGCCTTATTCCTAAAGTTCCTACAAAAGCATAAAAACTAATAAATAATAACTAAACTAAAGCAACTAAACATAAAAATAGCATAAGATAAAATAAAAATGTAAACTAATTAAAAAATAACTAAAAACAACTAAATCCTAGCCTAAACTCAAGAACTTAGCTAGCTTTTAAGAACAAAAGGACACAAAATAATTTTATAAAATAGAATTATCACAACTGCAAACTTAAGATTTTGCTAATCCTTGAGCACAAAACGAAAAAGAAAACAAACAAAACAAAGAAAATGAAACCTTGAAAATAAAGACTTTGCAAGAAACAAAAATTTTCCAAGTTATGATTTCCCAATTCTTCCCTCAAATATTATCCCACAATTCCAACTTAAGGTAAAATACATATAATTTTCAAACTCATTGTAAGGACCTCTTTTTCGATCATTACCGGCATCCAAGACTTGCGAGTGAACCCCCCAAATCCCAAACAAGCCTTAGTTAAGATTTCGAACAATTTAAAATTGACTTGCAATATTAAGGCTATCATTTACTTAAACCAAATAAACTCAATATTTAAAATGTGTGATTTAGATACCAATAACCAGGTTTGATAACTGCTCAACAATTTCAACATAATAAGT